TCGAATATCATCGAGATCACCCAGTCTCCTGGAAAACTCAACGTGCGTAGTATCGTTCAATCCTGTATTCCGGAAGACGCATACCCCGTACTTGGCCCTGTCAGTAAAGCACTTGTGCATGAGCGTTCGAAGACATAAAACAGATGATGTGAATCCGAGAAGAGCGAGGCAATTCGCATCAACAATTCGAGTGCGCACAGAGTCTTCCAGGGAACATTTGCGAGGCCAATCTAACTTCTTGGCTCGATATGGTGCGCCCTCGAGGTTGCTGACACAGACATTTCCCGCCTTCCCAAGTTCTACAAACGACTGGAAGCGGTTACCTTTGCCATGGCCTCTAGAATTTCCTGGAACTGTTCCTCGCTCGGACTAGGGAAGTCTACACCTTCGATTTCGGCACCGAAAGTTGGGTGGAGCTCCTTGACACGGAAGGTCTTGAATTTGCGTCGTCCTGCGAGGGCAGATCCCGTTTCTGCAGCATTGTCTGCCATTTTGCTGATGTGAACTTGAGCAAGTCTTTGAATAAAGTTTGATCAGACGGTGCTGGGTTTCCGTCTAGATGGTACATTGGAAGAATCGGCTCGGCGGAGAGAAACAGGAGACTAGGCTTTTGAAGACGATTGGTGTGTATTGACTCGAGTATGTGGAGCTGGCGCGAGTGTAGAGGTACATATCACCCCGCGACCGGTAAATATGGCTGGATAATTGCCGATGCCGCACCGCTTCGTACCACCCCACGGGGTTCTGGACAGGGACATGTTACGTTTCCAGGCCAGCAGAGTCCATGACGGGGGATTCTGCCCCGCAACTTGGCCGTCATCGTGGGGTTCACCGCCAGATCCAGAGCGCATCATGTGGCATCAGATTCTAGACACGTACAGGCAGCAGTTGATCGACAACCTCCGATACTGTGGTCACGCGTCGAGTCCGCATTAGAATCGTCAAATTATCGCCAGCTTTTCCCCGCTATCAAGTCTGCAGGTCCGCGAGGCCTACCCGTCACCTCTAACATTTCGTTACTTACTATTTTTGTTTTTCCCAGATTCTCCGCGCTATTATGAAGCGTGAAGCAAGGCTATCTCGGCTTATGACTAGTTTTCGCTTGGTCTCCTCTTGTTGACAAATACAAAGGTTCCATTGCAAGTTGTCAACAGCGTGAACGATGGAATCAGCGTCAGCAGTATCGTCATCTTCCGGCTGAGGCTGCAGAGGAAAAGATCCTCCTTTGGGATGGCAACAGTCGCTCGTGTGACTTCACGCATCAATCCTGATTCAGCCGCATCGCATCGATACTGTACGACATTTCAACCCTCGTTGATCGGCTTCCATATCTGGACTGTGAGGCTGAACCCCCTGGTCCTCTTCGTTCTGCGTAAACGAGCCGGGCCCGAGTGGCCAAATGCATCTTTTCACCTACAGATCTGAAGAGAACAAGAGGATGTGATGCTGCATAAATGCACTCGATGTGTTCGATCCTTTGTTACCTAGTTGCCTCGAAACACTGACATGTCGGCCGATGTCTGTCCTCCGCAACCATATTTAAAAAGTCGAGCTAGTGATCATCCCATCAACCGAAGGCTCTTGTAATCTCAGCTTTTGCGCTTGTGCCACAAGCTATGGCTTGGCCCAAAGGCTCAAACACGCCACCAGGGCTCACATGGGCTGCAAGTGATAGCGAGGTCACCTTCTGGGCGAAAAGCTAACTCAATTGTAGTGCTGGAGCCCTGTCATTTGCAAGATTGCAGAGTTGATAGGCCAATTCCTCTTAGGAGGGATTTCGTGTATGCTACATATCAACGCTGTATCGGTTCCGCTCTGCACACATGGTAGCTTGTCGTGGCTTCAGGCTCCAAACTATCGGATGCCCTGATACCCCAGCCACTCAGAAGCATGGAACATGGTTGCCGGACATCTCTAATTATGGCTTGCGTTTCTATTATCAGTTGATTGGTACTTTGATGGTGCTGCGTCATAACCTAAATTGAATGGTATGTACGGAGGTACTAGGTGTTGACAGGTGACATATCTTTGAAGCAATCTCGAAGTCGACCCGTATTCTTTCAGGGCTTGAAGGAGTTGGCTTGAATCGAAACAAGGCACGAAATTGAATAGGCACCAGTAAAGCCGCAATACCTAGATTGCGCAGTTTCTTGTCTTATTCTTCGGTTCCAAGGAAAGCCACATCAACTTCTATTAGGAATGAATCTGCACACACCAACCTTTATGATTCCACTTCGACCCAATATATGACTATCCAACGGCTTCGGTGATGGAAAATGGTACTTGTCCTACCTGGATGCTACCAATGCGGATCGAATGCCGGCCTTGTGGTTCGAGGTATCCGTGCGTTTCCTTGGGTGACACTTATACATGCGCCTCGTGAGGCGAACGTTGAGTAGCCGTTGCAGTAACAGGTACCGATATCCAGGATCAAATGACATGTTTTATTTCAAGGACAGCGCACTGACGGTCGTGACGAAACGGCATCCTACTGTGTCCTAATTCGTCTGTTTCGCAATCTACTTCACGTACAAAAGGTGGACTCTCCGCTGGACGCCAAAGTTCCGGAGCATAGTTCTACTTGACTTTGACAGGAGCTTCAATTTCTCAACGAGAAAGACCTTTCGTGTTTGTTGATTTGTGACACCGAAGTCGTCACTCGACTCATAGAATTCACAGTCTTTCTCACAGTCGTTAGCCGGTGATTTCATTATCCGTGTCCGTTGATCTTACAAAACTAAGAGTAGCTCTGGACATGACATCAACGAATATCGGACGCTGCGATTCGCCACTCAACCAACACATATCGACACGGTAGGTCAAGAAAAGGGGATCTGATCTTACAGGGAGACTGATACTCCTGATAGTGACACCAGAGATTCGATATCAAGATCTTCAAGTATCACGAAGGTCCGCACCTGTGAGCTCCGGCGAGTTCGAGACAGTGTGCCATGGCGACTTTGGGCGGTGGCCCTCATCGGCTTTTGGGAAAGAGCGGCGTTCTGGGGACTGACTGCGCCATGGCGTAAGTGACACCGTGACTCAAGGCGTCGGATACGGGCGACTAACACGGACTGTCGCACAGAGAACTATATGGAACACCCACAGCACTACGATAGAAACGACACGCCTGGAGCGCTGGACCTAGGCCAAGTCAAAGCCACTCGACTCTATTGCGCATTCTACATATTCTACTATGTCACTCCTTTATTCATCGCACCGCTGGCGGATAGTCGCATTGGCCAGTATTCGACACTCATGATGAGCGTTGTTTTATATTGCGTGGGCTGCACTACCCTGACCATCAGCTCACACCCAGTCTTTCTGAGCAAAGGCTGGGGCTTGCCCGGACTCATTGTGTCAATGATATTTATTGGACTAGGCGGAGGAGGCTTCAAAGCGATCATGGTACCTTTCATTGCCGATCAATATACGGAGACGGAGCCACGCCAGAAGACACTCAAATCTGGAGAGCGGGTAGTTATCGAATACCAACTGACACTGCAGTACATTTACAACTTGTACTTCTGGGTCGGAAACATCGGTTCCCTCTCGTGGTTCGCCACTGTCTTCTTAGAGAAGCAGTACGGATTTGCAGAAGCATATGGGCTAGCTTTAGGTTTTATGGTGATTGCATTGTTCATGCTGGTATTCGGAAAGAGTTGGTACATATGCATACCCCATAAAGACAATGTGCTCCCCCAAGCATCCAAGGTCCTCATCTGCGCTGCAAGAAATGGCTTTAGGTTGGAGCGCGCAAAACCGGCTTACCAGCAAGAACATCATCAGAAAATGGTTCCCTGGACTGCAAATTTAGTTGATGAACTCACTCGAGGCTTGCGAGCATGTCGAGTACTGCTTGTGTTTGTCATGTTTTACATCTGCTTCGACCAGATGCAAAACAACCTCATCTCTCAAGCTGGGCAAATGAAACCGGGAAACACGCCTAATGATCTCCTTCCGGCCATGAACCAGGTCGGGTGTATTGTATTAGGCCCGCTGATACAAGAGGGTCTCTATCCGTTCCTGCACAAGCTGCGAATCTACACCAAACCCATCGCCCGCATCACGATTGGCTTCATCTTCATCGCCCTCGCTATGCTGTATGCTACTTTCGTTCAGTATGCAATATACCAAAGCCCGCCATGCTATAGACACCCAAAGGATTGCGGAGACAATCAATCAATATCAACACTTGCCTCGAAGGAGAACCGGCCAAATGTCTGGATACAAGCACCACTCTACTTCTTGATCGCCGCTGGGGAAATTTTCGCATACGTCACAGGCCTTGAGTATGCGTATGCTCATTCCCCAAAGGACATGAAAGTCGTTGTACAAGCGATTAGTCTGCTGCTAGGTGGCATCGGCTCGGCGTGCGCCATGGCGTTGGCAGAGGTTGCACACGACCCACATCTCATATGGCTCTACGGCTCCTTGACTGTGGGCATGACTGTTACGACCATTGTTTTCTGGCTTGTACTCCGGAAGTATGACAAGCTCCCTTTGTCAATCAGTGATACAATGTCTTCGAATGAACTGTCACCAGACTTGGAGAGAAGTTGTTGCCAGCGCCAAATACGAGAACCAGACTTGCTCAGCCCACATTCGGTCATCGAAACTGGGTATGGCTTGACACTCTTCTTAGCACCACAGACGGACATATCATCGAGTATCAAGTCTTCGATTCCGTAGGTCGAGTTAGGAGCAACATGGGATCTAAATATGAGCTATAATGGTGGTCGCTGTCGAAGTGGTCCTATATCTATGTGGAGTACAAAGGTAGTGGTTCCTTTCTTTCAGCGGTGCTTGTACACAAAAAGGTGATCACCTCAGAGTGTTTTGTACATAGCAAAAATAACTTTACGATTCAATGGATCAACATGCTATATAGTTGAGGTATAAAAGAATAAGCGATATTCACCTTGGATCTACCCAGTACATTATGCAATCAATAGAAGTAAAAAGACTCAATATGCAAAAAAAGCACAAAGGTGAGGAGTTGCCCTCTGTAAGAATCGAACTTACGATCTTATCATTTAGATAATTCATACTAGTGATACGCTTTACCACTAAGCCAAGAGGGCTGCTTTGTGCTGATTGGTTAGAATTTTGACACTGTAATGATATTATATTCTTCTCAAAAGCCATGTCCTGCCGATGGCTATGGAAAGTAGACCCTCTGAAATACTTTGCAAGATCATTCTGTAGTCTCATGAAAAAAGTGATAAATTTTTATCCCGCATTTTGCATGACTCGTGGACACAAGCGAGAACTCGTATTGAAGAAGGAGTCGGATGTTGGGCCGAACACCTCGACAAGGGTGCAAGGATACCTTAGATCTGCTATCGGAGATGGACTGAAGTCTGACATGACTTCGTCCTCATCTATATATGTCTACGATCACTTAAGCAAACAGATACGTGAACAGTTTCCACAAGGCCGCAATGGATTTTCCATCTCTTGTTCTAGCTTCGAGGTCCTCTTGGTGAAGTACCGACAGAAAAACACAGCTCAAAACTTCACTCTTTCCTCGCTCGACATGCTGCTAGACATCTTGTATACCTCTCTGCCACAAGATATCGAAGATGTACTCTAGAAGGGAACACACAAGTATACGAGAAACCCTCAGCTAGCCAACAACGGGTTGCAAACACCCCCTAGAACAGACCCCCCGCCTTCCTTCTCGCAACATGTAAGGCGCAGCCTCGCCACGTTATTTGTCGGTATACTAGGCCAATGTTCAGTCATGCCTTGGTAAGAGTCGCATCATATTCCCCCTCTCCGCAACGACTGGACGCCACACCTTCCCAAAGCAGCCTGGCGCCCAGCTGAAAGCCAGCATCAAATCCTTCGACTAACCTCCGACCAAGATAATGCCATGCGCCATGTAAGACCTTGGGCAGCTTGTCCCTGGAAGTGCGGCAAAAATCAAACGTTGCCAACGTCTTTGTATGCAAACTGGAATTTCAGCCCCCGATGATACGGCGTCTGGCCCGATTTCCAATCTGGATTTGAAGGAGTTGGGGTCGGAAAGGCCGACAGCGAGGACGGGGACGTATAAAATGGGGAAATGCCCTGGCTGTTGGAGAAGGGAGCATTATTCAAATACAGCTTCTGCCTGGACTTGAAAAACGAGTAGCACTATTCCTCATTGTGACTTGTGAGAATACAAAAGCCGAGTAGCATAATCAACTCGACTTCGGCCGAGACGACATAAAGAAACATGGCCGACCTGATCAAGCAGCTTTCCGACCTCACGGCCAAGGGCCCCGCAGGCCTCGAAGAATCAGATCGTCTTGCTATTCTCCAAGCGACGAGTAAGCTCAACAACGCGCTCGAGAATCCAGTCGAGAAGTTTATTCGGTTGTTCTTTGTATGCCAGTTCCCATTATTTCCACTACATCCTCGTCATGTTTGTCTTTGCAGTCTACTCACATTTACTAGGGTATCTACGACCCCATTGCTATTCGAATTGCTGTGGATTTGGAACTCGTCGACATTGCGCTCGCTCATGGCGGGCCCATCACCCTGGCTGAGCTCGCAGAAAAGAGCAAAGCGGACCCAGATCTACTTCGTAAGTTTGAAACCCTGGAAGATTATCCTGTCTTCTCCATAGCCATTGAAACGCGAGGACGAATCAATAACAATTCCAGAGCGCATCCTTCGCATTCTCATCTCCCTCAACATCTTCGCGGAAGAGTCCGCAGGAGTCTACAGCACAACGCCATTCTCCCCTGTCTTTGCATCCCCTTCACCCATCAAGTCTGCCGTAATCCACATCGCCCACATGTATCAAAGCGTGACAGCAATGCCAGACTACTTCGCCAAAACCGGGTACCAGAATCCCAAAGACGCCATGGACGCACCGTTCCAGCTGGGGATCGACGGCGCCAATGGCGAAACGTACTTCAGTCTCATGGCAAAGCCTGGAAACGAGCGGCTCTCTAAAGCCTTCAACGACACCATGGAAATGCAGAAGAGCAAGGCCGAGGCGAAATTCGCGCCGGGATACCCTGCCACTGAGAGGCTGAAGATTGACGATGCTGAACGTGTGCTTCTCGTGGATGTGGGTGGAAACGTGGGACATCAGCTCGCCAGGTTTCACGAAAGCTATCCTGAGTTGCCGGGAAAACTGGTTCTCATCGATCTCCCTTCTGTCGTCGAAACTGCGACTAGTTTGCCTGAATCCATTACGAAAATCGGTCATGATTTCTTCACTCCGCAGCCTGAGCTTGTCAAGAACGCCAAAGCGTTCTATATGCGCATGATCTTGCACGATTGGCCGGAGAAGCAGGCCCACACTATTCTGTCGAACATTGTTGATGTCATGGCTGACGACTCTGTTGTTTTGATCCACGAAGTTGTCCTCCCTGAGACGGGTGTGGCCCACTTCGAGGCAAAGATGGATTGGCACATGATGAACATGGGGGCTTTGGAAAGAACTGAGAAGCAGTGGAAATCGCTCGCTGCTAGTGTGGGTTTGGAAGTCAAGGGGATTTGGTGGGACGAGGCGGCACTTGGACGAAGCGGAGTGATTGAATTAGGAAAGAAGGCGTGATGTTGTGAGCTAGAAACAATCTACATGGAATATACTAGTCTGTTGTGGTGAATACACACTTCTAACTTCCGAATTTCTGCTACAGTCTTGCTGGTTGTGTTAACATGGGGGGCTGATGTTTCTAGCATACGAATGTATGATGGCCATGAGAAGTGTCAAGCAGGGGTAATAATTCTATGAAAGAATAGTTTGTTACAAGTTTGGGGTATCTCAGAAAAACATACATGACTCGTCAAGAGGCTGGCTAGACCTAAGACATGAAAACAGAGGGTGGCTAGCCCCAAGAGATGAAAAAAAGTGTAGTACAAACCTCTGTAGAATCATCTTCGATCGTTCCACATATGATCAATGACCTGGAAGACTGATGTCACCAGTTTCATGGTTTCGGTATCGAGATGTTGGCCAAAGCGCTGTTGCATCTTATCTGGATGCCATCGCACGCGCTCGACCTTGAGGACGGTGCTAGGATCGTCTTTCCAGGCCTTGGATCCACGCAAAAAGCGCTCGATATTGTCCTTTGCTACGTGCTTGTCCTTTCCGGAGAAGACAGGCCAGGGGATGAGTTCACGTGCTTTTGGGCTCGTCTCTTGTGCGAGATGCTGAGCGTTCTTCAAGTCCTGCCACTTGGCCACGTATTGGTCCCACGCGGCTTCAAGTTCCTTGGATTTCTTGCGCTCTTCACCTCGTTTGAGGCTTTCTTCCATGCGCCGTCGAATGTCATTTTGTTCTCTCTCTTCTTTCTCGAATGCTTCCCTGCTCGCTTCTTCACGTGCGAATTCCTTGTCCTCTCGTTTTCGCTCCTCCCTGCGCTTCTGCTGAGCCCGTTGGTACGCTTCTTGTTCTTGCACAATATGTTGATGACTCTTTTCCCACATTTTCCCGCGCACATAGCTTGCGTACTGCTCATCGCTCATCTGCTCCAAAGCCCCGTCGGGCCCAGGGACCGCGTTCGGATAGACGTGGATAGGCTGGCCATATACGCCTTCCCAATAGGCGGCGCCCTCGTCATCTGCAAGTGCGTCGAAAAGGGACTCGCGGAAAGCGCTATCCGTGACGTCAGCTGGGGGTTCTGCGTCGTCTCTGCTCAAATCGTCGTAGAGTGATTCGCGATGGCGCGTTTCCGCGGCCGAGTAGCCGCCGTCTCGCGTCGACGGATGGTGGTCGCGGGAGGCACGGTGCCTCTCCTTGTGTTGGCGCCTGGACTCGCGGTGGCTTTTGCGTCTCTCGTCCTTGTCTTCACTGTCGTCGTGTTTACCACGACGTTTTGAGCGCGATTTGAAGTGAAATTGAGTTGCCTTGGCCTCGGAGTAGATGTTTTTGGGTGCAGCATCCTTAGCCTGCCCCTCCATGGCAAGGGCTGTGACGAGGCAGTCGGAGCCAGCAAGACATGGAAAGTCGAGGGTGTGGGCGGGGGAGGGTGAATCAACTTGGGACGGTGCGGAGGCTCGGGGGTCTTGGATGATCTCACTGGTGCGTGCCGTCTTGGCACCAGACAAGTCTCGACGTGCCATGACACCCTTTCAACAACTCCAACACCGCCCACCAACATGTCGTTCAAGTTCGGGCTCAACGCGAAGAACAAGGCCGGAAACCCGCCGGCGAGGCTCGGAGCAAAGTCTGCGCCTGCAAGGAAGAAGGCGCGCTTTGATGCCGAGGAGGATGACACACCCAAGACCACAGCAGACGGCGCGCAGGAGATTAGCGAATTCACCTTCGACGACACTCTCGCACCCTCGTCAGAGCCGTCAAAGCCACTGCGCCCCAAAGCGAAGCAACGCGCCCCCCTTGCACCGCCAACACGGAAAAAGTCGGATGCGCCCATAATCTTCTACTCAGCCAGTGCACAAGAGGCAGAGGCCCGCGCAAAAGAGGCCTTGGATGCAGATGCCTCAATATACGACTACGACGCGGCATACGACGCCCTTCACGCCCAAAGTGCCGCAAAGAAGGCAGCCGAGCAAGTGAATGCACAGGACCGAAAGCCCCAGTACATCGACAGCCTCTTTCAGGCGGCCGAGCTACGCAAGAAGGATGAGCTAAGGGCACGGGACAAGCTGCTGCAGCGTGAGCGCGAGGCCGAAGGCGACGACTTTGCCGACAAGGAGAAGTTTGTCACCGGGGCGTACAAGGCACAGCAGGAAGAGGCGCGGCAAGCCGAGGAAGAGGAGAAGAAACGGTTGGAGGCAGAGGAAGAAAGAAAGAAGAAACACGGCATGCAGAGTTTTCACAAACAGATGCTATGGGAGCAGGAGCGAAGGCATCAAGAGGCAATGGAAGCAGCCGCCCAAGCCCTGAAAGACGGCATCAAGACGCCGCTCGAAGAGGACAACACAAAGACGGATGCGGAGCTGGCTGAAGAGATGCGCAAGAAAGGCAAGAACATCATCTTGAACGACGATGGCCAGGTTGCAGACAAACGACAGTTGCTCAATGCTGGCTTGAATATCATTGCAAAACCAAAGCCCGTATCGACGTCTACTGCACCCGCAAAGCAAGCTGCCGACTACCGATCGAAATACGCACCAT